AGCGCGCCGTATCTCGATTAAGTCACCCGTTGACCCGGTGCCAGCCGGTTTGTTTTTCTTTTCCCTCCCGACGTCGCCTGTTCGAGGAAGTACGGCCTTACCGATATGCATACGAACGCGACGAATTTCCACCCATGGCTCCACGTATATCTTCCCGGAAATTTATTTACATTATTTCCCGGCCATCTCCGGAAAATCTCGCGACGGCGCGGAAGTCTAAAATTATTACATCCAGAGGAGAATAAACACTCCGACGCGAGAATGTAAATTGTTGTGCAAGCGAGGCTAAGAATCTCAACTGCGCGATTCGGTAGCTGCGAAACGGACACACGCGTACTACGTATGCGATAAATAAATATTAGAGACGCACGCGTTTTCTGTTTTCGTGTACGCGCGTGACGTTTCGTTCGGAGGAGCGCGACCGCCCGCCGGATATTATTACTTGCGGAACGCGCGTTTCAGAAAAACCGCTGAATAGGATGCGCGCGCGAACGCCCCGAAAATAGTCCGGGTACGACGAACTTAAGCGCGCCCGCGCGCGCACTGGTACACACATAAAGGCATGTGCACAATGCCGGGCCATCCGACACCGCGCTTAGCCGTGGCTCTATACGTATGTTACGATTGCGGTCAGCGCTCACGTAACAGCGCGAGCGCTGATACCGTTATCGGCCTTTGCCGAGGCATTTCGAACCGGTCTCCGATTTCGTTTCCCGCTCATTATGCAATCGGCCCGCGATAACGCGGCCGGCCGGCCGTCGACGGAACGAGAAAGGAAAATTTTCGACGATGTCGCGGCCCCGATTTGCGCGATCGAGGAAGATTAGATCCTCGGGGGAGATTACAGATCGTAATCGCGCGCGTCCAAGGTTTTTGGAATTCCAGCGCCTGATAAGAGATTCCGGAAGATCAAGCGTCGCGGGAAGGGAAAGAGGAAGTTTCTCGGAATCGATCGGGGACACCCGATATAGTCGTATTATAGTCGCGTAATAGAGACACGCTTTGTCGTTACATAATCGTGCGTCACGCGGCGTGATACGATTCAGCGCGGCGAGCGGGGGAACGGGGAAGGACCAGGCAGAAGCGAGACCAAATTACACGAGACGAGCGCGCGCGCGCGTGTGTGTGTGTGTGTGTGTGTGTGTGTGTGTGAGGTGTGTGTGTATGTAGCGGCTCCTACACGTTTCACGCCTGTCGGACGTGTCGGACTTGCCCCGGGTCCGCTTCGCAATTATCATCGCGGCTAGCCACGACGAGCCGCCCTCCCGGAATCTCAATCTCGCGCGCGATTTCTCGAAACTTCTTCCTCGCTCGCGAAAAGATTCGCCATCGCGTCCTTCGCGTCACCTTCGCAGAGGATCAGCTGTCTGCGAGTCAGGATGTTTACCGCGCGTTTCGATCGGCCCGTGCACGTTGTCGCACGTTCGGTGGGCTTGCGATCCACGTGAGATTCTTCACGACGTTTCTTATCACGTGCCCCGCCGGCCTCCGGACTACACGTGACATGGTCAGATGACGAGCGAGGCCTTTTGCACGAAAGCGTTTATCCTCGTTACATAATACATATTGTGTGACGACAACATCGTGACACAATCGACACGTTCCCTCCTTTCTCTGCGAGCTCCGGAAGGCGGACGATTCGATCGCCTTCTTACTCCGAAAGTTATAATTTTCAAGGTACGACGATACAGCATTTCGTTATACGAACAATGGCTGTAAAATTCCAACGTGTTCTCCCCGAAGGGACTTTAAAGATATATAAAATCGAAATATATAAATTCGATTTTTTTTTAAATCAACAAGAATAAAAATATATTTTAATTCGATTTAGATGACTGTATGAAGTCCTGCGGCCCTCGAGCAACTATGGCTCACAGTTCTTCGGAGTCTCGCGCTGGCGGTGTGAAAGTCGCTTAAGAAATAACGCGGTGCGTGATGCAACTGTTAGCACATAGCGCGCAAACGCTCGCGCAATTTGCGCGAGTTGGTTCGCCTTGTGTTGTTGCGCCCGTCCAGTCCCGTCCCGTCCCGTCCCGTCCCGTTCCGTCCGCCACGTGACTGCAACACGTGCAGGCTGTTATGTTAGACCATTCACCTTCGTTGCATAATACAAGCGAGAAAAGGTCATCGCGGCGAACAACGGAGTCTGATATTTGCTAATATGATCGATAAACCGGCCGCACTGCCGCCGCCGCCGCCGCCGCCGCCGCCGCCGCTGCCACCGCCGTCGTCTCTGAATCGCGATCGTCGCGGAATTCGGTCGCTCAATTCCGCGACGTGAGAGACGAAGCCTCGAATTAGCACTCGTGACGCAATTCCCAGTAATACGGAGGTTGAAACGCTGATATCTCGCGTGTTCCCTCGTTTCTTTTCGGAACTTAACACGAACGACTGAAAACTAGTCACCCTCCCCCCGGCTTCCCCTCTCCGCTCCCTCCCGAGATTCGAAAAGCGATTTGACGATCGCGCGGAGAGGAATACCTTAAAATTCCGCGGTAATCGCGCTTGTCACGGCAGTCATCGATATCGCTTAAATAAGAAATAGAGCAGCGCAAAAACAGATATAAGGCGCGTTGCTCGCCCACCGTGTCTTTCGCTCTCTCCTTCCTTCCTCTCTCTCTCTCTCTCTCTATCTCTCTCTCTTGTTCCTTACACTGTGAATGATCGATGAACGGCCGATGACGCAATGTATAATCCACAATGTCCGAGACGCGATGACACGTATATATCTAGATATCGTCAGTATATCCGGCCGTTCGCACACACACACACATATGTGCACGCACACATGTACAGACGAGAGAGAAACCGTAACTAGTAGTAGCCGTTGCACTTGCGACCGTTCGTCGTTGCAGTATATAATACCTGCGAGTACGCGCATTTCCGTGCAACGCAGATACCGCTAATCCGCTCTCTCTCTCTCTCTCTCTCTCTCTCTCTGACGCGCCGCGACACCCTGCCAGGACAATATCTGTATCGATCGGCAGATAACTCGATCTTTTTCGCGGAAACTCTCAAATACGACCGGCGTAAAGTTGTAATCAACACAGCTGTGATCACGAAAGCACGAGTCGAACGGCGCAGGTCGCGTAAACCGACCGATTTTCCCTCCATCATGGAACAAATATGTCGTCATCGATCGAGTTGTTTATTTATCGTGATTCTCGCTATCTGCGGGGAAAGTTTAGCTAATTTTTACTTCAACGTCCGATACGTTATCGGCAATTGTATAATTTATACATCCATTTATCTATTATTATCTAATTATTGGAGTATCCGGCGATTGCACGATCGGAATGATGCAACTTTTTCGCCTCTTTTCCCGTCTACGATTTCTTCGGCCTCTGAATCAGCGATTTCACGGATTTGAGAATTTTTTTCCTCAATTCGATTCCCGATCGTTCTCGACGTCTAATTCTCAACAAGTCCGCACGGCTGCACGTGCGTGCCCTTCGGCCGGAGTCCGTCAAGTTTATTGTACGGACGGTTTTACGCTATGAGGTTGAGAGAGCTCGGTAAATTGGGCCGTGGCCCACTTTGATAGAGAGCCATAGCGGCACGTAGCGCAAAGTGGGAGGAGATCAATGGGGAAGGGGAGCCGATGTAATGAGAGAAAGAGAGATAGAGAGAGAGCGAGAGGGAGGGGGGGAGTTCCCGTTTCACGAGAGGATCGCGATCGATGGATCATTTCTCATAGCTGTCGCGGCCACGTGGAAGAGCTATGACATCGAGCTGTCGTTACGTCGCTGCAGCGACAACGTTCGTTCCCGATTAAAAAAACAAAAGGAACGTTATCGTCGCATCTCGATTTCACAACGTTTCAATTAATCAAATTCGTTGGGATCGTTAATTTTAAATTATAATCGAGCGTAGTTAACAGTGAGGAGAAGAGAGAGAGGAGAGAGAGAGAGAGAGAGCGAAGAGGGAGAGAGGGAGAGCACCTTATGTACGACGAGAATATCGATTCTTCTCACGTAACAGAGCGCGCGATGGCGGCGGAGAGTC